CCGGTTAATAGGTTTATGGCTACTCTTACTCCTCCTATTGAGGGTTATATTGAGAAAATTAGGGAAGCTGCTAATAGGATCAGTGGGAAGGAGAAGATTAGATAGATTGGTAGATGATCGGTTCGTCACAGGTCAGTGCTGGTTTTGTTTGTATTGAATTATAATTGAAATGGGAACAAATGGAATTTGAATTTCATTGGATGTGTTTTTGTTTCTGTTGAATCCTTTTGAATAAGATGGAGTGAAACTGTCTCTAGTGGATGAAATTTCATTGGGTGTCTTTGTTTGTGTTAGTGCTGTCAAATAGCCGGTTATAGCACAGTAGAATTTGAATAAATTGCTGTTGTTCGGAGATACACTATTAGTAGAAAGTGTTGTCAAATTGCTGATATTATGGCGATGTAGATTGTAGCATAGCAGAGTTTGAACAAACTACTATTTTCTATGATTGACAACTCTGATTTGTATTGAATCTTTGTTTGGGTTTGGATGAAACTGTCTTTGAGTGATGTAGTGGAGAATGATGTCTATTTTGTCGTTGATCGGGCTAAATATATTCCATTTGATTTTTGTGCTACCAGTTTCATTATTGCATCCTGTATTATTTGATATTAAACAGGCCTTGAAAAGAATGAGGTTGATAGTGAGTAAATTAACCTCGTTGTATGATTTTGAAAAGGAAAAAAAAGAATAGTGAGAAAAGTATGTTTGGCACTTGATGAATCATGCAATTGCAGGATATTGTCTTCAAAGAAAATTATGATTATTTGTAATTTGGAACAAACTGGACAGAATACCATGAATTCACTGCATTCAACAAGATGGAAGTTGTTAGATATAGATCAAACAGTTCATACCTTCAGCTTGGTAAATCATTTTTAAAAAACAAACTCAAAATGTGATTTGTTTGATCTTTATCCAATGGTTCTTATTGAAGAACTGCAATAAACGACTAAGTCATAGATGAATCCATTTCTGAACATACTGGGCGGAATTTCTCTCTTCAATTTTCTGGAACATAGGATAGAGTAGTGTCATTTGCAGTTGTTGTTTTTTTGTTTGTAATAGAAATTTTACCAAATAGTATCTAATTCATGACACTGGCATGTTGTTCATTAGTTAGGGGCTAAATTTTGTGACTGACTAGTATGAAATTAGCTGAAAGCACCATATCTTGTCTCAAATGAAATTCACTAAAGGCTTGGAGTTTGTTTAGGTTTTTTTTGCTATTAATTTCATGTTTGCATCTTTCTAAATTTTTGGTTTGTTGGTATCATTGGCAAGCAAATATTTTTGAGTTTAAGATTTAGAGACATGTTTTTATGTACACGTGCCATTGCTACTTCTATGTGCATACTGTATTGCCGTTTCTATGTACATATTGTATACCTTATGTACCAATAATAATTGTCATTCAAATGCCTTCTATGTTAGCTATACTGTTAGGTTTGAAGCTAATGCAAAATCATGTTCTAAAGAATATTAGGGTCATTAACAATGTTAAAAATTGAATTGTTTTGTTCTCATGTGACTGGGAATAGGTCAATCATCTATATCGAAATAAACGATGAATGCTTGATGGTAACTCTATCTACTGATTTGTTTGAATAGCAGGTTTGGCTTGAAGTTGCCGAAGTACTTTTCTTTTAATTTAGGCAGCACTCTATCGATCGAATTTTATTTGATGGGGCCAGAAACTGGGTTAGGGGAGCTTTTTGAAGAGTAAAATATGATCAACAGAATAGCAGTTTAAAGTAATAATTCATGAACATCTATTCTTTATTTTTCCTTTTGATAGTAAATCAGGAATGATGTGAATGAGCAAATCATTTTGGTTGGTACAGACTTTATGTTGTCTTGAAATTTTAGAGTTGATGTTGCGTCTCGCAGCTCGGCAGCTTAAAATAGATTGGTTTTGTAACAGGCATTTTTTGTTTGTTTTCAAATTATGCGATTAAGTTGACAATCTAATCTTCAACAACTGCTAGTTTTTATTGTTGAAAGTGGTGTTTATCTCTAACCTAGTGTATCTATATTCATGTATGTTTCATCTATCAGCTCCTCTCATTCAGTAATTGAATTTGTTCTAGTCGATTATCGACAGTCATTTGTAGTCAGTAAAAAAAAAATCAACTTGGGCAAGAAAATCATATGATTTATAACTGGGACATTGAATGACTTATTAAACTTTTTAACAAAGTTAGGAATGTCAGTCATATGAATTAAGCCTTGTGGAAAATATTTTAGATTGAGACATTGACTTATTAAACTTTTTAATAAAATTAAGAATATGTCATGATTTAAAAATACTTACTTTAAGGAAAATATTTTAGATTGACTTAGTAGACTTTTTAATAAAATAAAGAATATGTCAAGATTGAAGAAGTACTTTAATTTGAATCTATAAGAACAAAATGAATATATAAAATTGTACAAATTATAGAGAATTAAACTAATAATTTATACCAATTTGATTTTATGTCCAGGGTCGACTATGAAAAGAATATATTTAGTAAAACGTGTGATAGAGTACTTAAAAGAGACTTTGTGGAAAGTCTTACAGTTAAGATTAACTATATTCGAACTATGGAGAACTTGTGATTTTTCCATAACAATAGGACTTCATCAATGTTTAACCCTAAACACTTGCCTCTTTACTTTACTTTTGGATACTTATGCAATACATTTAAGAACTAACCCTAAGCACTTGCCTCTTAACCCTAAGCACTTGCCTCTTTACTTTTGTTTCGGATACTTATGCAATAGATTTAAGAACTATCACCGAAATGTATGTTTTGCATGTGCATATTATACAATACTAGAGTCAAGAAGGAAATTAATGAGGTTGGAGAGTATCTTAGAAACTTATAACTTCTTTTTAAGTAGAAGTAATAAAATAAAGTATATAAAATGCAAATTTAACAAAAGAGTAAATGTTTTTATGTTAGACATGGAAACTGAAGATTATATCATACAATAAATTACACGATTTAAATGTATTGAATCCATAGTTCAAACCAATAAAATAAAAGAAGAAATGTATACTGTCAAATTCAAATTGAATGTTTAAATTGATGAGAAAATTTTATTGGACAATTGCAAGACATCTATTTTGTACGAGATAAAATATTGGATAATAAAGAATCATTACGAAAATAGACCAAATGATCAAAGATAAGAATGTTGTATTAAATATTGGATATTAAAGAATTAATACAAAAATAGAGATGAAAAATGTTGTATTAAATATGTTATAAAGATAAAGAAGATAAAATTAGCTATGATATGGTGAAAATTAAACTTATATAATTTGGACAACGTAGAAAAAAGACAAATATATTATGTAATTTGAAGAGTAATATAATTTGAACAACCTAGAGAAAAGACAAATATAAATATATTATGTAATTTGAAGAGTATATAACATTGAAGATAATCAAACGGTTAGATATAGAGAAAAATTAAAAATTAAAATTAAAATTAAAAAATTTGATGGGTAACCAACTCTACCTAATAATATAAAACTTTTATATTGTTATTTAGTCCCTTACTTTAATAGAGTTAATCATACAAGCCTTTTCAATTAGTTTTCACGCCAAAACTTTAGCAATTGCTTCAGAGTCAAAAACAACAACACAGTACCGAATTGATAAACACAAAAACACGTATTAATTCATTTTGAAAACATAAAACCAGTTCATAAATTGTATATTGATTAATTCAAAAATTGTGTTATTGACTCTAGAATGAGTTAAAAGATATTGTTTGTTGCTTATGATAAGTAATCTGGTGTCTACATTCTGGCCTAAATATGACAAACCAAAATAGAATCAAAACAAAGTGATACCACAACCAAGTTTGAAAGACTAAATATAGAATTTAGCTCTATTTTCTAATCCAGCAAATCTAGATTCGTACAGTATGATGCTTATGATAAAGCACACACTTCCTGTTTTTGAATTATGCAAAAATTCAGTTGTGTAGGCAAAAAGGAAATCAAACTGGCAATAGAAAACCAGACAATGGTTATATGATTATATAATCTAACCTACTCGTTTGTGATTTTTCATCACTGCAAATTAGTACCTATATTGAAGGAAGAAACTGTGATTTAGCTGAAAAATCCATGTCAACTCCGGCAAAGCTACAATATTCACCCACTGCAAAACAACTGACTGAAAAACAAATTCCATGATACTCACTAAGTTATGCGATATTTGAACAATTGTGATGAACCTTACCTCATCTAAATTTGCTTGATAGGTGGACAATAACAAATCCATATACTAACACATTAAAATATAGCCTATGGATGAAAGTCAGAACATTCGGTTGAAACCAGGCATCAGTCATTCCAGTTCACTGAATAAGATTAAAAATAAGAAACTTGAAAAGTGACCAGAACACACATCCTAAAAGAAAGAAAAATATTGCAGGACTTACAAACACCCCAATTAGACTTCACAAATCAAACAATAGCCATTAGCACAGACATAACTCCTCCAAAACCACCACAGTGAAACACCAATAAAAATCACCTAAAATCACACACCTTCATTCTCATTTCAACATCCCCAAGAGGTAAACCAAATTCAAATACTTCCATCACACCAAAACACAATCACCAATAGCAAAAACAAAAAACAAACAGAAAACACATCATCAACCACAACCATCAAATAGAAATCAACTGTCAAAGTTTCAAAACAATATCCCAAACCCAACCACAGTAACCCAACCTAAAAAATGATTTTCTAAATCATCGCAACCACAAAATAATCACAATTGAAGCAATCCTTAAACCCTTAGACAGTATAATCAAACAAACTCCAAACACACAAAAATTAACCAGTTATCATAACAAGCTATCATCATTGAGCATTGAAATCACAGTACAACATAAAAATCAAAACACTTCAGTAATAAAATCTCTAAACATTACATATGTTCCACATCATCATCATCATCATATAAATTTAAACAAAAAAAAGACAAAACCCTTAAATCTTATCAATATCTTCATCCTCAAACTCGATATAATCATTCCCATCTCCATCATCTTCCTCATCCAGCCCACCTCCAATCCCTTCATTAAGCCTCGTATTATCCGGCAGCTCCCCATACGCCTTAAGCAGCCTCGCTTCATCCGGCATATACTTCAGAATAACATCCGCCTTATCATCCTGATAATCCCTCAGTCCAACAAGAATAATATCCCCAGCAGCGATCCAAACTTTCTTGTGCATCTTCCCACGGATATGACAGAGACGTTTCGTTCCGTCGATGCACATGGCTTCGCATCGACCGTTACCGAGCATGCGGAGGACCTGAGCGTATTCTTGACCGTCTTCCTTGAAGACGAGCTCTCGCTTCTCGTCGTCAGCTTCGTTCTTTCCTCGCTTGCGATTCTTTCCTCCCTTTCCCTTGTTCTTCGGCATGGTTGATTGATTCGGTTTCTTGGTTTCTGTGTGGAGGAAACCCTAGGTTTTTGAGAGTTGTGAATTTGTGATTTTGGGGATTTTGTAAGTGATGAATAAAGCTGGGGTAAAAGCGTGTGCGTGTGTAATTGAAACGAGTGGAGTGGGTCAGTTTTTTTAAAATGGACGATTTTGGCCCTACTTGAAACGAGTGATTCTTTAATTTAATGTATAATGTCTTATATTTTACTTGATCTGCAAGTAAAATAATAAAAAATATTAAATTGTTGTGCATATAAATAATGTATAAATATTAGCGTTTTTTGATCGAGTCTTTAATGGATACGGTTATTCTGCTATTTTATTTTATTTTTGTCATTCTATTGTATAATATTTGCTGTATTTTACTATTTTATATAAATTAATATAAGTTGGTTTTTATAACTTATAAATTTATAAAAAATTGTAATATTAAAGATGTTCTCTTATGTTTTTTTTTAAATAGTCGCAATAATTTTAAATTTATTTTAAATTAAAAGTTTAATTTTGAAATAATTCAAATATTTGTTGTTAATTATCATACTTAATTATAATACTTAATTATTTTTCTATAAAAAAAATTATAAACATTATATTAAAGAACAATGATATATGATTTTAATAGACATTATGTATTAGATTTCACTTCTATCATCTTTTTTTTCTCTCTCTAATATTATCATCTCTAAAAATTTAAATAACAAGTGTCTTTTTCAATACCATAATCCTAACTTTAAAAAATAATTCAATTGATACAGTTTCAAAATTTAAACAAATCTAAATTAATTTGTTGTCACAATTAGTTTATTGAAACTGTTAAATAAAAAATTACCACAACATTCTTCACTACAATAATTATACTCACTCTTATTCTTTGATTCTACACCAATCATCCTCGACCATGGTTAACAGTAGCGGTCAATCGCCTACACCAAAGGGTATCAGCAGTAGTAATGATGCTAATGTCCTGGAAGAGATGTGTGCTGCCATGCACGAACTACGTCATCAAAATCAGATACAAGAAGGCAATGTCCACAACATTAGATAACGCTAACATAAGTCTAATCCCTAGAGAGGATGGAAGTGTTGGATCCCCAACCACTCTCAGATGAGATATGGGATTTGAAGGATTCAAACCTCCTTCTTTGTCCAAGTTTGATTGGCGTAGTGATCCTTGTGAACATGTCGCCTTTATCAACATACAAATGGCTATCATTGGAGCATCTGACTCCCTAAAGTGCAAGTTATTGTTAAACACCCTTAGGGATGCTGCCCCGCGATGATAATGGGTCTACCACGAGCCTCCATCGCTAACTATCACGAGTTGGTAAGGAAACTTGTGCATCAGTTTATTGCTAATCGCCACAGAAAAATATACACTACCAGTTTGTTCAATATATGACAGAGTCCCTCAGAGTCACTGAGAGACTATCTCATATGGTTCAATAAAGCCACCATCAGGGTCGTTCTTCCAAACTAAGAAATGTTTATGGGGGCGTTCTAGAATGGGCTCAACGTGGGACACTTCAATGAGTCTCTCGTTCATAAGCTCACACTTTCGCTAGCAAAGGTCGTTACCATAGCAGAATGCTACATAAAAGGCGAGGAGAGCAACTCGAGAAGAAAGTGCGAGATGTCAAAGAGCGTGTCCCCGACGCCGAAGGTTCACACCATTATAAGAAGAGTAACTATACCCCCCGCAATCAAAGATAAGATTGTGTTTAAGAGGGTAGGTAAGACGATGGAAAACTTCATGCATATGAACACCCGGTGTGAACAGATCTAGTGTGAGGTGCTTCCTCTGCATAACATACATGCGCCTCTAGCTCCTTGAGTATAAGTAATGGGTCCTGAATCTGATAGATGGTGTAAGTTCCATAGAGTAAAGGGACACCACACTGAAGATGTTGGAACAAAATTATTAATATCCCTTGAGTTTTGATGATAATAAAGTAGTTAGAGAACAATTGAGTATACTAACATATGTTCAAGTGTGCAAGATTATAATCTTATATTCAACCTTGAATAGATCCTATTAAAAGCATATATGGAGAGGCAAAGTATCTCAAATTGTGAAAGATCATAATCTGGTGACTCTGAACGTGTTCATCAGCCTCTGAAGGATCAGAATCTGATCATAGTAGTTCATCCTCTAGTGACAGCTCAGACTCTAAAAGCTAAAGGTGCCTCTGATCCGTACTCTGTCTCCTAGAGATACATATCTTATCAAACGCCATATTTCTGGAGAAAGTCAACTAGGATTTCCTTTTTGCAAGGCTCAAGGAATGGTGATGTGACCTTGTTCTACCTTTTGGTAGATACCCAATACTTAGAAAGATGATGTGGACATTGTTATTATTTATTGGACAATGTTTCTAACCAGATACATCTCCAACGTCTCTCTTGGTATGATTCTTCACGAAGAAAACTCTTATGCTCATTGATCAGTGTGTTTTGATGCATATTCTTCGACTATTGTACTTAAGAATTTCTCTAATATATTTTTATTAATTTTACTATTTTATTGTATTTTTAGAATTAAGTTTATTTTTTCCATTAATTTAAATTCGTATTTTATTTTCAGCATTAACAGTTATTTGATACATGTTCACTATGCATATCATAACTTAAGCTACGAGAATCAGATTGATGCATTATGATAGGCGTTGAAATGAGTCTAAACCTTTTTGTCAGGAAAAAACTCAAAATAATATGAAGCCTGTTAGAACTAACAAAAGAGGTTCCATAAGGTTATGAGTACCTAAACCTGAGATTGTGTTTGCTATAGATATGCATAAAGGGAGAAACAAGGCAACAATCATGGTATCTCGACAGTGGTTGCTCACGTCATACGACAGAAGAAAAACTTATGTTTTAAACCATGACTCTGAAAGAGGAAGGAAGTGTGAGGTTTGAAGGAGGATAAAAATGGAAGATCATAGGTATGTGCACTATTCGTAACTCTTTAATCTTTCTCAATAATGTTTAGTTAGTAAGTGGACTCAAACATAACATTTCTGAGCATAAGTCAATTTTGCGACAATGGTTATGAAGTGGTGTTTGATAAGAACTTTTATTTAATTATCAATTAGATTGACAAGTCCATTTTATTCAAAGGTAAGAAGAATATAAATGTTTATAAAATTAAACTTTTTGAATTAACTGTCCAAAAGGTTGTTTGCCTTATGTCTGTGAGTGACGAGAAATGGGTCTGGCACAAAAGGTTAGGTCATGCTAACTGGAGATTGATCTTCAAACTTAGCAAGCTACAACTATTTAAAGGGATGTCAGATCTTGATTATCACTCATATGCTCTCTGTGGAGCATGTCAAGTAGAAAAGATTAGGCAAAAATATTGTTTGGGTTCTTTAAGTTATTTCTTAACCAGTCAATCATGTATGTTTTTTTTGTTGCTACAAACAGGTCTCATTTATTTTTAAATTGTAACAACCATGTTCTTCAAGTTTTGATTGTTGTACAAATTATGACCTTATTGTAACAAAACTGGTATAGAATTGCAACAAGTGTTACATGAAAGCACCAAAAGTCATGTCTTCCGACAAGTGTTATATGAAGATACCAAAAGTCATGTCTTACGATACTAACATCAAAATTAACAATGATCACCACTATAAAAATCAAAACTAACAATGTTATGACATAGAATGGCATCTTCAACATCATCAACATGTTCTTCATCACCTCCTTAAATGACACATCATCACTGTTTGTGTCACATAAGTGTTTTTAGAACGGAGTTTGCGAAAAAGGTAATGGTGAACACGTTAGTTAACATAAAAGACCAAATTGTAGCAAAAAAACATAAAGGTCTGACTTGTTATAATAAAATAACTTAAAAGTCTCAAACAATATTTTTGCCAAAAGATTAACAAAACTTCTTTTAAATCCAAAAACATTGTCTCAACCTCTAGACCCTTAGAGTTACTTCACATTGATTTGTTTGGTCCTTTTGGAACTGTTTCAATCAATGGGAAGAAGTATGGATTGGTCTTTGTTGATGATTTTAGTAGGTGGACTTGGGTTAAATTCCTTTGATCCATATATGAATCATATGAGGTATTATGCATCTTTTGCACACAAGTTCAGTCTGAAAAGGAATAAAAAATTATAAAAGTCAGAAGTGATCATGGTGGTGAGTTTGAAAACGAGCCTTTTGAGATTTTTCGTCATAAACATGGAATTATCTTTGAGTTATCTTTTCCTAGAACTCCACAGTGAAATGGGGTTGTAGAAAGAAATAATAGATCATTGCAAGAAATGGCTAGAATCATGATCCATAAGAATCATCTTCCTAAATACTTATGGGCAAAAGCTATTAATACTGCTTATTATGTTCAGAACATGATTTATATCGCACCAACTCTAAATAAAACACCATATGAATTGTTTAAAGGAAGAAAATCGAGCATATTTTACTTTCATCAATTTGGGTTGTACTTGTTACGTTATGAGCAATAAAGTCTATCTAAAGAAATTTAATGTTAAGGCTCAAAAGGATATCCTCTTAGGATACTCTAATCGCTCTAAATCATGCAGGGTGTATAACTCTATAACCAAAATGGTTGAAGAGTCTATACATGTTAAATTTAATGACAATGGGTCTGACTATGAAACGTTAGAGCCTGTTGAAAGTTTTGCAGATATACAAGTTTTTGAAGAGCATTCAGAAGCTAGACCTTCAGAAGTTAGGAGCTCAGCAACTGATGGGTCAGAAGTTAGCGTACTTGAAACTGTTCCTTGTCACTACACGAAAAATGGACAGAGTCGCCGGTGAACTTTATTTATTCCGAAGAAAGAGAAAATATCGATAAAATCCCCTGTCACACCATAATTTTTGACCTTAAGATACCACCTCTGTTTTATTGCATTTCTTTATCTTTATGCTTCTGTGTGCATGTTTATCCTAACCAATCTGTACAGGTGTTCTGAAGTCAAGGGGAGATGACATTCGTAACCCAGTT